AAAAGGACAGCAACTTGTCTGTTCCCCTTCCCCCAATTCGCCAGCGCTGTTCCTATCCCCCAATTCCCTAATTAAAAAAAAAAAAAAGAAAGTATCTAGAAAATAATACCTTTTCAGAGTTGAAAAAGGTGGGTACTTGGACTCCCCGCCCCGTTAGGTTACTTACAGCACTATGTGTTGAATTTTAAAAAAAGAAGGGTTTGGTTTGTTGTTTAGCAGTTTATACAAGTAGCAGTCACAGTAGGAGTCAGTTGGGTTGCTTGCTCTTTGATAGGTTGCCTCACTTGGAAACCCTGCTAGTGCAGAAAAACTGCTAATAGGGCCTTAGCGCAAGCAAGATTTTCTTGCCTTATCTGAAGTAAACTGAATGATGCAAGGGCTGAGGACTAAGGGAAGAGAGGAGGTTCTGCTTTGTCACGAGCAACCCAAAAGAATGCTTAGTGTGCAGTGTGCATAGGACACAACCCAAAAGAATGATTAGCGTGCAGTGTGCATAAGGCACATCCCAGAAGGCAGTGCAGACACAGCTGTGCTGGAACTCTGCCACCTGCTTGGGTTGCACAGACCCGTGCTTTAAGCCCAGGGTTGTCATTGTGTTGTAGGAGGTCCTCACCCCTGGCTGAAAGGAGGAGGGCTTAACATTGCTTTCTGAAGAAATCATCCTCTCTTGAGAGGCAGCTGCACATGGTGGCCAGCCCCCAACCTCGAATAGAGGAGAAGGGGGGCAGGACCAATTTCAGCGAAGTGGGCATTCTACCTGGTTCCCTCAAAGGCCCAGCCTGCACCCACATTTGAAGTAGCCTCGCTGAGACATGTTCAAAGAAGATTTAATTAAGTTCCTAATTGGCTAACATCACTTTTGTACCTTTTCTTCTTTGTTGTCTCTTCATACTTGAAATAGCCATAGAGCTGGCATCTGATCACTGCAAGTAGATTGGGAACCAAAATGATCATGTGAAGACATTTACGAGGTGGAGGGTAGCTCTGAGATCCCCTGATCTGGTCCCCGTGTTCTGTAGGTGGCTAGTTAAGGTTAAAGGAGTGCCTATGTTCACAGAAGTAGTTAGTGGAAGAGCCAAGACTGGAGCCAAGATCTCCTGATTCTCAGGCCTGCTTTTTCCTACCACAGAGCACAGCAATGTGGTGAAAAACTGCAGTTTGTGAGTGTCAGGAGTGAAGTGAGAGCTCACATTTTGATTGTTTTCGTCTAGAAGATAGACGAAACAAAATGGAAGCATAAATCTGAAAGAGCCCACCATGTAAGCTCAGAGTTGCAAATGAAGTCCCCTGGTTTGGAAATTCAAGACTCCTATGTTTTACTATTGGAAGAATATAGGTTTTATATTCTTCCAACTGCCTTAAAAATGAATTTCAGAATCTTCTTTGTTGAGTACATAGGTGACTGACCTTCATGTAGGCACGATATGATCTGCTCTCAGCTTATATCAGAAGTGGCTAGACTTGGGGATTTAAATCAGGGTGTTGCTTTGTCCAAGCTCATGGCAGGATGGTGTAGAATTCTATAATCTTCAGTTTTTAAATGTGTTTCCATTGTTTTAAAGCATGCATCTTTGCATAGGTGTCCAATATTTCCTCTCTGAAAACATAAATGAAAAGTCTACATAAATAGAGTTAATTTGAGGACCCCACAGTTCTTTTGACTGAATTTTGGGACCTTTATTAACAAGAAGCAAGCAGTTACCATTGGCAGTCTGCTTATCTCCAAATAGGATCAACCTAATAATTTAGAAAATGTGACTCTTAAACCTCATTAATTTCCACTCTGATAAAGAAGAATTTGAGAGAATTGCGAAAAAGTCTAAGCTAAAGCTGATCATCATTTTCTAAGCTGATCATCTAACTTACCTTCTGTTAGGGGAGATTGGTATGTTTAAAACTATTTTTTTTATTAGCACACCAAATGTTGTATCGAAATGACTATAAGAAAAAAATTGCATTTACATCCTCCAAAATAAGTCTGTTGGGAAACATTTATTAGCCTAGTTGAAACGATTGAGACTGAATTTCTTTTAAAATAGCCCGTAGCTCTGTTGCAAAATTTTAACTTGTTTGGATTGATCTTTCCTTTTAATACTATAAATTATTGACATTTTACTGAATTCATAAAACGTGCTTTTAAAATTGAAAGTATGGTAAGCCGCAGTCTACTATTCCTGAGCTCAGTACATCGCTTCTTTTGGCGTGCTCAAATTTGCCTCAGGAAGGATAGGCACAGGTCTCTAAACAGTCATTTGTGTGGTTTGATTTTTCTGTCTGCGCCTATGGGCTTCCTTGTGGGTTTGTGTTTTGCATTTAATGTAGGTGTATTGGGCTGACATATCTGTGACAAGTTGTGGGTGAGTATTTTAAGAAAGCTTGTATCATCCTCTCTAGGTGACAGGAATGTATGAGAGTTGGGTGCCAAAACTTGTGGCTGCCTTGTACAAGAGGGAACCCGACTCCAACGTCATTGTGGTGGACTGGCTGTGGCGGGCCCAGCAGCATTATCCGGTGTCTGCCGGGTACACCAAGCTGGTGGGAAAGGATGTGGCCACGTTCATCAACTGGATGGAGGTGAGACTGGGGAAAGGAGCCTTATGTGTCCAAAACAGGTCTCTTGGCTGGGGCTGGACAAACGGGTGGTCTTTGTTCCTTTTCACTTAGCTATAGGAATTTTCTGGAGCAATTTGAATCTTCAGAAAGAGCATGGGCCTATTTTTTATCCAAAAGCTGCGTTATGATAAGAATGATAACACTATAAAGCCAAGGCAAGGAAAGTTCTACCCTGCCTTGTCCTTTGATATTTTCATAGTGAATAGATCTGCTGAGACCAAGAACTCAGTGGGCAGAACACAGAAAAGCTTTTATTTTAGGGCAGAGGGAAGGCGTCGTGTTCAGGCCACCCTTCCCCTGCCAGTTGGCTGGCACATGAAATTTTATCCTGGCTTTGACCCCTTAGGATATCAATCTCTTTGATGAAAATATTAATAGTTTTCATTTCTTCGTATGGATTAAGGATCAATATTTCTGTTGAGGGTTAGGGAAGCGATGGAGTTGAGCTAGGAAGAAAATGGCAGGGAGTGTCTGTAGGATGTGAGGTGGCTGAGCGTCAGGAGTTCTGACTTAGCTGCTAGTTTTACCCACAGTGCTCTCTGAGGCCATTCTCTGAAAATGGGCAAGTGAGATCACCTCCCTGGGCCTCAGGCTTCGCGTTTGCTAAATATGGAGGCTGGACCATACGTGTCTGCGGTCCCTTTCCCCTGTAATATTTTCTGATTTTCAGTCATTGCTTGGCTAACCTTAAAGAATAAATTGATGCAGGGTATTTAGAATAGGGACTAATACATTAAAGTTAAAATTGTGTGTGTGTGTGTGTGTGTGTGTATCTATATGTATACATATGTCTGTATCTATACATATTACATATATCTATATCTATGTCTATATAAATATACATATACATTTATTTTCAGGTGTATGCAAATTCAGATTTCCATACATTTCAATTTCAGATATGTTGAAAAACTTTCTAATGAACATATGTTGTTAAAGAAAGAGAAAATCTCAACACTAGAGTATATGCTTTTCTTATCTGTAGCACAAAATTAAAATAAGTAGAATAAATTGTTAGTATTGTCTGTATTTTGAAAACAATAATCATATTCATTTTATTTTGTTTAGCTTTGATCTTTTGCAAAGAACTGTAAGAACCCCTTTTTCCTTTTTCTCTTCCAAAGGAGGAATTTAACTATCCTGTGGACAATGTCCATCTCTTGGGGTACAGTCTTGGAGCCCATGCTGCAGGCGTTGCAGGAAGCCTGACCAATAAGAAGGTCAATAGAATCACTGGTAAGAAAGCACTGCCGTTTGTCTTATCACAAGAGTTGAGGTGCCTGTCATCCTGAAAGAGAATGAGAATGTTTGTTAAATATCCGTGTGTGTGTGTGTGTGTGTGTGTGTGTATGCCCAGCCACTTGATTATTTTTATGGCAGGGCTTTTTTTCTGGAGTGACACAGAATACGGGCCCTTGCTGTCACGGGCCGACCATCTACTGGCAGGAGAGGGAAATAGAACAGAGTTAAGCACAGAGAGCCCAGCGGTGTCCCTCTTCCGTCTGCCCTGGGCTTTGGTAGTGTGTTGCATGTATATCACCCTTCATATCAATACTGGGAAAAATGAAAAAGGACCAACACAAGAGGCCATTTGGAAAAAGGAAGACATTCATTTGGGCCAGTGGTAGTAGATGGTTTGGCATGTGTCGAGAGAAAGGAAGAACCTACCAGTGTTTAAAGGCCTCTCACCGGGTTAAAAAATAACTTACGAAAGGAGATCAAGTCACCCTGAGCGACTATTTAATGGCTAGTTTGAGAGGCTCAAATTCCATTTTAGAAGGAGCTTACGTCTGTTTGGTGACTCTCAGTAATTTAAAGAGCCAATCACTATTGATAAAAATCTGTGTGGTTGTCAGTGATATTCCAATGATGAGCAATGGAATGCTAAGGTGATAGTGATGGAGACTAAAACTAATAGGAATTTTAAAATCTGTGGGTCCTTTTTGCCCCCATTAAGGCCTAGATCCAGCTGGACCTAACTTTGAGTATGCAGAAGCTCCCAGCCGCCTTTCTCCTGATGATGCGGATTTTGTAGACGTCTTACACACATTCACCAGAGGGTCACCTGGCCGAAGTATTGGAATCCAGAAACCTGTGGGGCATGTTGACATTTATCCTAATGGAGGCACTTTTCAACCAGGATGTAACATTGGGGAAGCTATTCGTGTGATTGCAGAGAAAGGCCTTGGAGGTAAATATGATTTAGAAGTTAATTAAACATAAGTTGTGTTCTTAACTCTTATTGACCCAATGTCCCACCCATTCTCCACAAGTATGTAGTTTTAATATAGACATTGAGCCAAGATTTGTTTCTGAAGAAGTCTGCCATATTCAGCATGTCCACCTTAGAGGTTAGTACTTCCTGTGGTCAGTCAGTCAGACATTTTACCTTTTATGTGTTAGGATTTAGACTACATTGAGTACTGCACTTGCAGTGACAAAAGACAAGAAAGGTAAGACTTAGACAAGAAAACACCACTGCTTTTGATAATAGCAGCATCAAATGTTATCTGGCCACATGTTTTTATACTTTGAATACAGTTGCAAAGCCAATAGTTATTTTGAATTTTACGGAAAATAAAGGACATGTTCATTAGTCCACATTTCTTTTGTCAGCTTCTCTATCAGTAATTATTTCAAAAATATCACCATTCTCTAACAGTAAATATTTAAAAAATTTAAGGAGAGGGGCCAGCCGAGGGACTCAGTTGGTTAAGAGCGCGAGCTCTGAGCAACAGGGTCACCAGTTTGATTCCCATGTGGGCCAGTGAGCTGCGCCCACCTGAGCTGCTGCTGAGCTGCCAACAGGTGGCAAGATGGCTCAGCTGGTGAGAACACGTGCTCCTAACAACAAGGTTGCCGGTTCAACTCCTGCATGGGATGGTGGGCTATGTCCACCCGCAACTAAGATTGAACATGGCACCTTGAGCTGAGTGGCCGCCAGGATGGAGACTGGACATGGGAGCTGAGCTAGCTGCTCCCTCTACAACTAAGATTGAAGGACAACAACTTGGCTGTTCCCCTTCCCCTGTTCCCCAACACTGTTCCCCTTCCCCAACTCCCTGATAAAATTAAAAAAAAAATTAACAAAATATAATTTCAAATCGCTTAATATTTACTTTAATAATCATGCTAGCTTATGTTAAATTTATTATTTGCTTTAAAGGAACTTTGCATACTTTGTGGACAATGGGACGTACCTGTACATAATATGCTCAAGACTTGTATATGTTATAAAACTTACACATAATGTTATTATTTTCAATAATTATAAAAGTTTATAATAGATATACTCTTATGACAATGGTGATTATTTCTATGATTCATTTATATACATATCATTAGTAGTGACACAACCTTTGAATTATACATAGTATCCATGTTAAAATATTATTCATTTAATAATTATGCCCTTTATGACATGGTTTCTAGAAGTATGTTTCTAGAAGCATCTGGAAGTGTTACATGCTTTCAATATAAAAGAAGGATGTGATAAACTGGGGGAAATCAACTTCTACCTTAGATGTCTCTTATTATAGCTTCCAAAACACACTCACAAATATAAGACAGCAGAAAAGCCAAAAGTCCCCTATAAATTTGCAACTTTAACATTCTTGGAGGTAGGTGAGAAGCTGCTTCCAAGAATACCTCCTTAAATAGGACATACAATCAAGGACTAGATCCTGAGGTCCTGTTATTCTAACACCACACCTAAACTCTTTTAGACCTGCAAAATGAGACACTCATGGTGGGTTTTCACAGAGTTGAAATTTTCTTTGTGTCTCTTTTCCCCCAGATGTGGACCAGCTCGTGAAGTGCTCCCATGAGCGCTCCATTCATCTCTTCATCGACTCTCTGCTGAATGAAGAAAATCCCAGTAAAGCCTACCGGTGCAATTCAAAGGAAGCCTTTGAGAAAGGGCTCTGCCTGAGTTGCAGAAAGAACCGTTGCAACAACTTGGGCTATGAGATCAATAAGGTCAGAGCCAAAAGAAGTAGCAAAATGTACCTGAAGACCCGTTCTCAGATGCCCTACAAAGGTAAGCTGGAGACTACTGTAAACAGGTCAATCAGTTTGACCCAATGTTTTGCCATATTCATTGCATCACATGTCCTGATTCTGTCTATTGCAACAGAGATAATGCAATGTTACTGAATCGTGAGCACTTATTTGTGTTTGTTGGTAGAGAGGGAGTTGCACTGATCCACTTTATTGAAGCTCCGAATTCCTGTTGCCAGAAAGGCCCAGTACACAACCAGCACTAACTGCCCTATGCAGCCTCTCTGCGGGCCACCCTCCTCTGTAACTGTGACCACTGGCATGGGCCAGCCCATTAACACTGGGCTCAGAGCTAATTTGAAACCACATCCAGGGTCAGCAAACTACGGCCCATGGACCACATCCAGCGCACCACCTGCTTTTGGAAATAAAGTTTTATTAGAATAAAGTCACCTGCATTCCTTTCTGTACTGACTAAGGTTGCTTTCCTGCCACCGCAGCAGAGTTGAGGAGCTGGGACAGAGACTGTATGTCCCACAAAGCCTAAAATATGTACGATCTTGCGCTTTCCAGAAAAAGTTTGCCAACCCCTAAAGTTTGCTTTAAGTGAAGGCAAGAACCACCTGTATTTTAAAATGCAACTTTTCCTGGAAGAAGAGCATGTACCAAACCTCCTAAGATATTTCCATTTCACCATGAATTTGTTCACAGTTGAATTTCAAATGTGGCAGCTTGTTTAGAGATAATCAGATAAACCGGGCGAGAGGGACTCACATCAGAAAGGCTGGCTTATGTAGAGTCCAGATGGGAGTCCGAGGGAAGGGATGCTATTAAAGAAGTGTTCCCCAAGGAAAACGTATCTGATAGAGGCGCCCATTTGTAAGGTGGTTTGTGAGAATCTGTAGAGGTGCATTTGGTGGCCCAGAGATTTGGAGCACCTGTAATTCCAGTAAACCTTTTAATCAATGGGGAAACCCTTAGTTTCCCTGACTCTTCAGGTTGCGGAAACATGTGTGAGGTATAGAGGAGACCGTAATCGTCTGAAGACGCAGACAGGTCTCGCTCATCCCCAGGCATTCTGTGCAGTGTCACTCAGCGCTACCCCTGGGGCACTCCGGCAGTCCTGATTCCTCCTGCTCTGGTCTGTGGGGATGCCTGCAAGGGTTCCATTTAACTCCAAACTCTGTTTCTCTTCACCCTTTAGTAACTGTGTCTTAAGCTTGCTGCCTTTCCTACCCCCTTATCTTCTCCCCCATCCCATCTACTCAGGTTTTTTTTTGTAGAGATGGGAGAGCAGGGAGGAGATGTTTAAGTTCAAGTACCTGGTTCCAGGAGCTGTCTCTGATACAGAAGTTTAGGAACTGTCAGTCTTGACGGCCTCACTGGTGATTCAATGAAACAAGTTTTATCATGAGCCTGCTATACACCTACTCTGTGCTAGACGGTGGGGGAACAGAGGATGATCATGAACCCAGGATCCTCTGACCTGAAGGAGCTTACATACAGGGTAGGGAGGTCAGATGTACCCATGAAACATGAAGAAACGCAATCACAAACAGTGACACGGTAACAAATGCCAAATATACTGGGTACAGATGCTAAGGGACAACATGGCCAAGGAAAGGGTGGAGTCCATAAAGAAAGCATCATGGGATTTTTTTGGCCTCTTGATTTGATCTGCCTAGTACCTCATCAAAGATGACTGTTTTTTCTGCTCTGGTCTTTATTATTTCCTTCCTTGTACTCCCTTTGGGCTTGTTTTGCAAAGATGGCTGTTTTTTCTAAGACTGGCAATTCAGATACATCCAGATTCTTCCTATCCCCTTCAACCACATTTTTCTGAAAGGGAATAGAATTCGAGATCTGAATTTTCTAGTAGCGAACACTGTACTGACAGGAAGAAATCTTTTTAAGCCACGCTGATAGTCGTGTGTGTGTGCGCTTCCTGCTTGATCACTAGTGAGATATGGTCTGTGGTTCTGAATTGCCTGCTTTGCGGGGCTGTGGTGTTTCCATAAAGACTGATCAGTACTTGTTCTGATTTTTTCCTTGCAGTCTTCCATTACCAAGTAAAGGTACATTTTGCTGGGCCTGAGAGTGATACCCAGACCAACCAGGCCTTCGAGATCTCTCTGTATGGCACTGTGGCCGAGAGTGAGAACATCCCTTTCACCCTGTGAGTAGCCACGTGACATGACCTGCAGCCTGTGGGTTTGTGATGGCACTGCGACCTGCCATAACCATTGGCCTGAGGGACAGAAGAGGAGTAGGATGCTTAGAAAAGAACTATGTAACAGAATTAAAAAAAAATGCTATTTGGCAAAAGAGATCATTACATTGGGACATATAGTAGCATAAGTTAGAAACAAAGGAAGTGTCCAGCATTGAGGCCATGGTTAAGTGAATTGTGGGTTTAACAAATCAATAAAATCATTCTAACCTGTAAAAACTGTAGTTATGCAAAGCTAGGTAAAGCATGGCAAGAAGTAGAAGGTAAAATATGAAGTGAACAAAGAAAGAATAGAGAATTCTATGTACACTGTGATTTTTACAAAGTACCCATACCAGTAC